TTTGTTTGAGTTGTGTTTCAGCGCATTTTAAACTGTCAGTACGGGGCTAAACAATGTTTTTAAGGTAGGAAAAACGTTAGCCAGTCAGTAGAATTTATAAATCTCCCTCTTAATCAACAATTTGTATAAAATTGCGATTTATTAAGAACTATTATGTTGTTCCGAAAGTCCTATCGCACCATTTTCAAAAAATCAGAACTTCTTCCTAACAGGATGTTTTTACATGACTAAAACCATTTAAAAAGGGCAATTCATGCACTTTCTAAAACTAACTTGGCTGCTGTCTAGTAACTTCGGAATGCAGAGATAAAATTGGGAAAAGGAAATCACTTTAAGTTCAGAATTTTGAAGCAAGCCCGTTAAAAAATCCAAAACTGTGCTGCAAAATCCAAAGCAGCCAGTAACCTGGTTTTGCATAAATTGCTTTTTTCAACAAGGTTTTAATCATGCAAAAACATCGTGTTAGGAAGAAGTTATGATGATTTTTTGAAAATGGTGTGACAGAACTTTCGGACCAGCCTAATATTTTCTCTTTTTTCCAAAAAAACTGGAATTGAGTCTAGCGAGCCAACAGCTGCTCAGGCAAGGCATGAAGTAGGGGTTCTCCAATTACAACCCTTTTCGCAATGGAATTTTTTATTATATTGAATTCAGTATGCATCTTTTTCGTTGTAAAATGCTTCTATAATCTGGAGAGGTTCTCTGTCTATTAGTTGTATAATCTTTGGTCGATAAAAGCAAAGAAGTCTCATATCATGCTTCATAATTATTGTGGGACTTCATGCGTGAGCGGAAGACCTATATCTGTTGCTATATCTGTAGCTTTTCAAGGATTCTCAGAAGTTCATTTTCATCACAGACAGAAGGCCCGAATGCCCTTAGGCGGCCCTTTTTCTATGGGGTGCATCACGCAGCTGCTTTTCATATCGTTCAATTAGCATTTTTAATTGACACAGTGCTAGTTCAACGAAAGTCCAAAGTGCAGCCGCCGTATTTCGATGAAATTAGTTCGATGGAGAGCGTCCCATCCATGAATGTTGTCGTGCGAATTCTTCATCAAACTTGGGTAACTGAACTTCCAGAAGAGTCGAGTCGTCCCCTCTCGGCAACTCCAAACGAGGAGCGGCAAAATTTGTTGATTCCAGCTCGGCACGCGGCTCTTCTAATTAACTTTGCTGAGCTTTTTCATCGTCCCAGTTGCGCCGACTCTTTCGAATTTTATTTCTGCGCCTGCGTGGCTCAATTGGATGCTGCCATAAAAGTGCAAAATGCGTTGAGAAACGTTAATCATAAGTGAAATGTGCACTCAATGTCATGCAAGCTGTCTATCAATAAGTTACTCTTGTGATTGACTGACGCCAGTAACTAACTTGTCGCTGCTGCGATAAATTTCCCACAACTCAGAAAAGTGCAGAAAAGTCCATCAGAAATCCCATTAAATTATCGAAACGTCCACAAAAATCTTTTTGGTACTTGGTTGCTCCACGAAAGTAATGACGAAAGTTCCTTATAATACTCAAAAGTGCAAAGAAAAATTCACCAAAACCACCATATCAGACATCCCCCAAATTCTTCTTGGCACCTTGCCAGCTCTACGGAATCCATCTTTCTCGAATTTTCAAGTGAAGATAAAAGTTTCTCACAACACTCGAAAGTGCAGGCAAAAAACAATAACCATCAAAATATCAAATCTTCCTTAGCTTTTTTCTCCAAAGCATCAAAAGTTCCCCAAATTCTTTTGGCAAAACATCGAACGTTCCTTAAACTCTTTTTGGCACCTTGCCAGCTCCACGAAACCCATCCTTGAGTTTTCAAGTGCGGACAAACTTTTCTCGCAACACTCGAACGTGCAGGCAAAAATAATAACCACCGAAATAAACCTTCCCCAAATTTTTTCTCCAAATTATCAAACATTCCCTAAATTCTTCTTCCACCTTATCAACTTGATGGAAGCCATCTTCCCTGATATTTCTAGTAGAGGCAAAATTTTTTTCGCAACTTTCCAAAAAAATTCTAGAACCCCTCCAGCTTTCTCGCAAAAAATTTTGGAACTTTGCCAGCTCTACGAAAACCAACTTCTCAAGTTTTCGAGTGAATACTATGGCACGAAAATCAGCATAACATGGTTTTGTTTGCTCTGCTCGCTTTTGTCTTCGGCAGCACGACAAATTGCTCGTCGGCGCATGGAACTTGTCACGATAACAACATAGTATATCACAATTATCCAAGAAAGACTTGCTGCTTAATGGCATCGAAGCATGTCTAGGCTGAAATTGCAAGGAGACCAGCTTTTTTTTATGGTAGGGTTATGAAACAATAATATTTTTAGAGAAGGAAATGGAAAAGATTGCAGATATGGGGTAGTTGAAATAGAAACATCTCAACCATTTAAAAAATAATATAACGGCATGAACTGACAAGATTGGGAGGATTAGGGAGGAAAGAATGGAAAAGGGGTAAGTCTATCAATATGGACCACATTTTTTTTGAAGGATACGGGTATGTATGAACTGGAAATGCGCAAATATTCAGTTTTCTTCTCAATTGAACCAATGGCTACTGTTCGGTGTTATCATCAAAACTGAATATCAAGGAAATTGTCCCCCATGAGAAAAATTACAATTTAGCAGTTCTTAAACTATTCAAGAGCCAATTTTACTGCCTGCAACCTAAATTATTTTTTATTCTTCACAGTTTTTACGGGCTCAGTAAATCCTCGAACTAGCTGTCACCTGTTTGAATTTTACCACTTTTCTTACTCTTCTCATTTGAGCTTAGTTTGTGGCCTCTTTCCAATGCATTTGAACCCTTCAAAACGTCACCAAATGCGTGTTGCACATTTAACGAGCGAACGTTTCGCCTTTATTTTGGACAGAATTTTTGTCTTCTACTAAAAAGCGGCCTTCGTAATGCTATGCATGAATGCTGACGAAATTGTTCTCATTTCTATTCTGCACGCTCTTGGGGCTCTAAAGTATCGCAGTGTGCCATTAAAATCGCGGCGATTGTATAAACTGGGACTCTGGAGCAAATACAACTCGAATGCAAAAAGCTATGATCAGCAAATATTTCAATGAGTTTTTACAATTGAACTCACATTTTTCAATATATACCACTTATATAAATGACTTTTCGGAGTATGTTAGCCGGCCAAAGGTTCAAAAATCAGTGCTATTTTATGAGATTACAAAATAATTGCAAGAAACTGTGGTGTACAGACCATTCAAGAAAGAATCAAGTATAATGCAAATGTAATGATTATCTAACCTTTTCATTTCTTGCTCGACACCTTGTTCTTTCCCAAAATCTGGAACAAGTTCCAATTAAAAGATTTCGACATTTGTTATGGTTTTCCGTGAGCGTATTTTCAACTACATGAAAATATTTTATGGCTTCCAAAAATCCATTACCTTTTGCGGACTTATTTCAAGCACAAAAACTACAAGTAGATACATACATTCAATGTGCGTTTCTTGCCTAGGAGTTGTTATCTTAAACAATAAGGATGATTTGCAAATATCGCAAAATAAAATTTCTCTCGAAAGTTTCAAAACCAAAAAGTCTTAGCTTGAAGATTGGTATTGCATCTGCGTAGGCTGCTTCCCCAAGAGACGATTCCTCCAGCATAACATTTTATTTTCGAGACACAAATTCTCAAGTCGTCAATCAAACACTCAGCTGCCAAGCTTCGGCAAGTTTCAGGGGCTGCTATTTGTCGGGCAATAGGGGTAATGGGGAGGGGGGGGGGACTGTCCTTCGGGCAGAATTCTTCAGCTCAGCTCGTAACGGTTTCCCCACAAAATTGGATGAGATCTTTGGAAGAAGCTGTCGTTATTGGAATATGAGGCTTTTTTGTGCTCGTAGGCGTTTACTTTTACGACTTTCGAAAGACGAAATAACTGTTACGATGTAGAAAAGATTTGTTTCGAGAAAGTGCTGACCGCTATCTCGTGATACATCTGAGCAGTTGATGGCTCGCTAGGCTCAAGTTAAGCCATCATTAGACAGTTTGAAAAAAAAAGTGATCCGTAATAAAATTGCTATTTTACGACCATCACTAGGACGCAAATGACTAGGAAGATTTCTAGAACATTCCGAGCTAACTTCCATCACCTTTGCATTTTGGAAAAAAAATAAAGTCTGTAATAGACTTGCATTTTACGGCCATCAACAAAATATCGGTTAATTAGCTTGGAATTATTTGGCTATAATTCCACCGTAGCAGGAGGACGAAACCTATGCTAGAAAGATGGAGAATTGAGGTTTTTGAATTGGCCTTTTTGGGGTAAAACTGTGCTTTAGTGCTGATAGGAAATTTTTATTTGATACGTTACAATAGGAGTTTAAAACTGCCTCTCTGCAAGTTATGGCTAATCACAAGAAGCTAGATTTTTTTGTAGGGATTTTAGTGTCAAAACGAAATTTTTTAGCTAATAAAAATGAACTGGCAAGGAGGAATTTCCAGAATATTTCGCTCTTTTCTTCGCTTTCATTAAGTCTCGTCCTTGGCCTTTTGAAAATGCATATGCCCTCTGTTCAATATAGAATCTAATGATGCTAGAAAGCTCTAGTCCCGTCTCATAATTGGCATGCTTAGGCAAGGACTCCGTTCAAAGGTTTATATTATGGCTATACTTTCTTTGTACTCGTTAAACATAAGCTTCAATCATGCGGTAATTACCTCTAAGGTCTCATAGTTCGCCTATACGCTTGTCTATGATTAACCAAGTATAGAAAGCGTCTAACAAAGGGTGGAGGGGGGGGGGGGGAGAGAAGGGAAAGGGGCGATTGTACCCGAAGTTTGTTTCAATGAACCTAATGCGTCTCATGCCGTGCCTTAATCGAAAGTAATTCAATCAACGTTAGTGTTTTCGCCTCCAGTTTCTTCAAATGGCCTACTCGACTTAATTTGACTAGCGATATAGGCGCACAATGGGAAGTAGTTTCGAAAGAAAGATGGAGAGGGGGAGGTTTGAAGGTCTGAAGATCGCTTTTTGCAGGTATTTGGCCGTAATCATCATCTCTTCACTGCTAGCCATCGGTCTCACTTTGACTGTCACATCGTTAGTGTGTAAAAGAATGCGAAGATGTCCATTGTATAGGGATCAGTCAAGTAAGTTCTTTCTTTTCTTTTATAATTTTTATCATACTGCATTTCTGTCACCTTTTTTCAAGTTTACACGCATTCTCATTCTTATTCAGATTTGGCTATTAGTGCAATTTTTTTTTGAACACGAAGTTTTTTGAAATTCCAACTTGCTGCTAAATATACCCCATGACTTAAAACAAGACAAGAAAAAAAAGCAAAGGAAAAGAAAAGAAAAGGTTATTTCAATTTTTTTTATGATATGGCTAAGAAAAGATAAAGAATTATTCAAAAAATTTTGCTTTTGATATCGCTCACGTTGATAAAAAATGTCCGAAAATTCTTACTTTTCGAGATTCTTTGCATAGCAGTAACTTCACATTCATATTTTCCAAAGGAAGCTCAAACACCCTAGTCTTTCTCGTTCCTTACTTCCTGATTAGGCAAGAACTACCCAGACGTTTTTTTCTGACAATTTTTTCCCACCAGCTCCTCAGATTTCTTTGTCCTCATAAGCATTTACAAAAAAAGAACTGACTGGAAGTGGCGGAAGTTTTTTCTTCCAAAAATTTGCTTACTATAGCTTGCCTTGAAGTCTCAACGGCTAAAGTTTGTACTTTGTGCACTTTGCTTTTTTTTCGCTGGTTTACATCAATATTTATTCCCCCGGCATTTTTTTGCGAATACGAAAAGTCAGCTATCGCATGGACTTTCGTCATAAAAAATGCTGTATGTTAGAGTTGAGGGTTTCTTTTTATGTTGAGCGGGCTTATAAATTCTTGCACGACTGTAGCTTTTTTTGCTTTTTATGGCTCATCGGGCTAACAATCAGGAATTTGTACAAGTCTTGTGATACATCATGATTTTATGGTTTACAGAATCATGATGAGTGGATAATTTATGGCTTTTAGCAATGTGGTTTATGCTGCTAACGTGTCTTTTGGCGCAGCCGTGATCACACAAATTTAGTTTGTCAACATTTCAGTGCTTGCTCACTCTGTACAGGCAGCCACTATGTATCGCCCGGTCGACACAATCCCACCGAAAATCTACGAAGGTACGTGATTACACATATTTTGATTTTGAGATTTGATTTCTTTTTTTTTTAAACCTTTGCCAACAAAAGCGTTTTCGTCAGTTTTCTGATTTCGCTATCGTATTCTCAATGAGCGACAATATTTAATTCATTGCCAACGGGGAGCCAAGTTCTTCGGGGGCTGGCCTGCCACTCAAATCACTTTAGGGCATTGTGTTAAGATGACGAACTACTCCCTTGAGGTTGACGCGCGGCTGTTGCTCAGCTCGGATACTGTAGCTCTAAAATTTGCGAATCACTAGGTTCAGCAGGGACGAATTGTTACGTATTGCTCCTTTTTCACTGAAACAGCACACCTCATCTCACCCAAAACCAGTTCCATACGCCTAAATTGGCACGTTCTGCAGATAATTGCAGAATGTACAGCTGCTGGTTTTGGCGGGTGTGGCGTTAGTATTTTGACGGATGCAATAATTCAAGTAAACTGCATGTATTCAAAAGTCAAAGATGCAAAATCTACGAGAAGGAACTCGATCTGCACTTTTGGGTCTTCCTCATAAGGAATTACGAATGCATAGTCCCAGCAAGCTTCCATGATTTTGGTGCATCTTTGCACGCAAAGATATAGCGAAAAGTATGAAATAATATTACCCATCATAAGTGATTATTGAAAGACGAGTTTTTTCATAGTTCTTCTCATAATCAACTTTTCATGCATCGTTAGTCCTTCTAAAAGTAAAAAAGCATAGTGTTTGGGGTGAGTTTCAAAAAAAGAATCAAAAATTTTGAAATTCAGAAAACTCCAAAAACTCAACACGAGCGAAGAACGTTTTACGACAACTTCTAAGTTATTCATACTTTTCATGCGTGGTTAGTCCTCAGTATAAGATAAGCAAAAAATCGGAAGAAAAGTGATGGCTTCAAATTTGCTTTGCTGTTAAAATTTCGCTTTCTTTTTGTCAAGAAAGCGTTTTTTTGCTTGTCACTTTTTTGCCCTAAATTTTCCATTTTTTTAGTCCATTTTTAACGTATTTTTACGATGAGAGGGAAAAACGATAAGCATACAGATGCTATTAACAGTTCCATGATTCATTCTCGTACTGTCAGGGGTATCAACTGTTGTTTTCTTGGCTTTTGACATATGTAGGTACGGAAAGTAACAAGAGAAGCTTCTCATAAAGTCTGGTAAATTTCCCAGCAGAAAAATGGTACTAAATAAAATTTTACATGTATTTTGGAGTTAACGATAGTGTAATAGTTCCCCTGCGGTGCTTACAACACTTGTCCGAAAAAATAGCGCACCCTCACAAGAATTGCAGTACATTGCCAGTTTTAACGCGCAGTTATTGTTGTCATCGGGGGAGGGGGGGGGGGGGGGGCACGATATCCCATTAATTAAACTGTAGGTTCCTACCAAAGCTGTCTGCGTGCTGTGATTTCTTCACTATTCTGAAATTTTTTTCAAAAGCGAACGGATTGTTGGCTACGTGCGCCTTCTCTGCAGGGAAATCACTCGGAAGTAGAGTGGGGAAGTTCGTCGTCAGCGGCGTTGAATCGCGCGGCTCCTACGGGAGTTACTCGTCGGCAGAGCGCGCTATCTGTGCAGCGCCAGCACTAATGAGATGCATCGCGTTTTTCGCTGCCAGGCGCGATCGCTTCTTTTCCGTGGCCGCGGCTTCGCCTCGTTTCTTGTCTTATCGCAAGACGATGGCGTCGGGATTATTGGATTACGGACTATGAGGCCTCGTCGCCTTCACCGAATCCCACATTCGGCTGAATTCAATTCACTCTTGCACGCGCGAATTTCGACAACGGCAGAAGTTGCGGAGGCGCGCACGCGATTGCACGCGTTCTCGTCCCCGGCGCCGGAAGTGCGGGTCATTTCCCGAAGCGATCGCCTCGGGTTCGGGGAGTATAGATCAAGGAGGACAGGGGTCTGATGACATTCTCGGAACGCTTCGTTCTCGAATGCAGTGGCTCTAATGAACAGTAATGAGTGATTATGTAGGGCAAAGTACTGTAGGTATACGGTAGGAGGCCGCTTGCCACGTAATAAATGCAAAATCGTTTCCTATTCATAAGACTCTTCTTTCAGAATAAAGATTAGAGTGAGAAAGGGTTTTGAACAAGTTTTTCCGTCTAAGAAATAAAAAATTCTTTTTCTGAAACAAAGTGTTTTTTTCTACCTTTATAAAATGGGAAGAATACTCAAATTTTTTTCCTCTTTTTGTTTCTTGCCCTTTTTAACGTCAATTTTTAGAGTTCAATTTCATAACTTTTTTTTCTCGTCTTGAAGAAATAATAAAGCGCAGACATATAAATCATAAAAGCTATAGCTCACAAATTAGCATAATAAAGCTTTCACGATCAGTTATAATGCTACTGGTGTAAACTGAGACTCAAGCTTCTCAATTTCACATGACCACCCCGTCATTCCACTAATGGTAGGTGTTGTGCATAACAAGGTTTGTATGCATTCAGCACATAAGTATAGAGTAAATAAGATACTCAGGCTGGAATTATGGCTACGTTATGAGGGATTTGCACGATAATAACACGAATGCATAGGAAAGCTCAAAGATATGTGAAAAAGGGCCAAAAAACTATGTGCTTGAAAAATATAGCAAAACGAGTGAATTTTCAGGGCCATTTTGGCAGATGAGGTTTCCTGTCTGCTTATCACTTCAGCCCAACCACAGTTTATCCATTTTGACTTGACATATGTGCAATGACACACACTCTACACTTTGCTCGTTCTATCCTGCGTTGCACAGAACCTTGCGTCATATTTTGGAGACACTATTTTTGTATTTCTCCAAGCTCATCGAAATCAGGATCTGGCGCGCAATCTGTGCATTGTGTGCAGTTACGCTCATTCTATGAGATTAGACTATATCACAGCGATAGAGGTCATACAATATTTCTGTGAAAAGCTTTGAACTCAAATTTTCTTACTTTGCATAGGTTTTCTACAAGATTATGTTATCCTATTTTTTATTTTCTGTAAAAAATGGCTTTTGCATCCAGTGAAAGGTTTCAAGTACAGGAAGTACACGACCGTAATTTGAAATCACACGGTAGTTTTTCTGCATCCTCATATGTGATGGCTAATCTGGGAATGCTAATGGGCTTCAATGCGCAAATTATTTCTCGGAATAAAAGCCAGAAATCAAAGCTCTCTGAACAATCAGATTGCATTTCGCTGACTAATTAACACTATTATCTCTCCTCATCTACTAATTTTCAGCTCCGCCACCGTACGAATGCTTCGTACCACCGCCGGATCAAACAAGGAACGACTGGAACTGCGTGCTCGAGAACGAAGTGAATTGCTCCAGGAACCAGGCAACGTTCACGTGACAGACAATGTCAGGAACTCATTGACAATTGTCACATTGGTCTTTCGATGATGACAAAACGGAGTCCATACGGATTCACCAAACACATACACACACTCAGTGCTACACATTATTGCGGGTCTGCCACAAAGTGATTCGAATTTCTTCGCTCTCGCCATCTGTTGAGCGAGTTTCTAGGACAAAATTGTCGTTGATTAGATTCGTGTTTTTTTAAGCTCGAAAAACTGCTTCTGAAGGTGTCTACGACGCTCAGCTTTTACATTCTGGTCGTGTGCTTAGTGGAATTTGCAGTGAATGCATCGCTATCTTCCGAAGGGTTTTCAGAAAGTAGCCAAACTGGCCAGGAAAGCCATCTCCAAAAAATTGCCAGAGCCAATCCAGAACTGTGCTAGTGCGGTATCAGAACTCTGATCTATCAATAAGAGGATGTGAGTTCCACGCAGATCTTGACACGATGGTGGAACGGCACTGGCACGGCGTTGGCACTGCGCACGAGGCTTTCACTAAGCCGGCCAACCCTGTCCATGCTTACTTAAAAAATAACATGCATTCACTACGAGTTTCATGAAATTCTTTATCTGTACATATGCTTATAAAATTCTTTCTCTATTGTGGTGAACTTTCTACCCGGTTTCGAGCTACTTTCTAGGGTAATCACCATTCGAATGTTCACACTGCTCGTTTTCTTGATTTGTTTTATGTGAATCTTTCAAAAGAGCCTTACTATATGCATTGTGAATGAAATAAACTTTGAAGCTTTCGTTGTTTATGGAAAAGAAGAACTAGCGCTAAACTATTCAAAAGAATAATCTCGAAGAAGTTCTGTGTGAATGCCCGTTTGAGTGACGGATGAAGCAAATTCATTTCGAACTTGGATTCCATATCATCCCTTGTGTATTGGTGGCTGTTTACCATAACCACCAAGTAATCTTTCATCCTTGACTCGCTACGCTGTAGTGAATAACGCTAAGGCCAGAAAATGAATAACAGAAGCTGAAGTTCCATGCACTTGCAATTGCTAATTTAATTATTCCGTTGATAGGATGCACTATAGATAATGAGCATTCAATCTGGAGAATAGCTGCGTCCTTTTATTTTACTAACGTGCTCTTTCTATTTGCGATATGAGCAAATGTTCCACTACTACTGGCCTCATTATGTAGTGAATCACAGGACTCATAAAAAACAGTCAAAGTTGTTGTACACAGAGTTCGTATGGGAATAAAGTACTTCGACATTAATCTTTCCTAGTTCAACAACAGCAGTTTTTTTGCTCAAATGCTTTTAGCGCCTTTTGAAAGGAAGAATCAGATGCGGAACTTGCTATCCACTATTCAACATTGAAAGCATGTTCCTGGTAAAGTTTGATAGATTAAGGAAAACATTTCAGTAGGATGATTTACAATAGGTGATTCAATGGTCACATAATGCGTGATGGAGGAGCGGAGGGGAATGGAATAGAAGAGCATGATCATCGGGAGCCATTTGAAAGTGTAATATGCAAATTGTCCAAATTTGAAAATGTCTAGATATTCTAACAGGTTGTTAACAGTTTTGCAACTTAACAGGGAAGGATACTAGGTGACTCCGGCCATTCATAATGGTTTCTATATCAAAGAATGCGCCTTTTGATGATGGTTCGAATACTGTTTTGCATATCTACGAAACGAGAACCTGGATGGAGTTATGATCATTTTTTCAAAAATGAATTGCGCTACTGCGAAGGGTGAAAATCATTAATAAAAGCTTTTCTATCCTCTTCAAATGCTGGATATGGTTTAGGTAAGTTTAAGTACAACGTTACATCTTTCAAGATTCTCCTCAGTAACTTCAGACGGTAAAATAGATCAAATTGGGTGATTTTAACTACAAAAGTACGCAAATTTTCTACGAAAGAAAGTTCTTAACTGCCTTCAAATAACTGGTTCGCAAATTTCGAGTACAGATCTAGAATTAGCGTTTTGAGGTGCACCTTATAGTATACATCGCATTCCACATGGTCGGGGTCACCAAGTATCCCTTCCTTGTTAGTAACATTTCACTTTAAGATATTGGCCGCTTACTTTTTGATAATGCACATTGTCGTCCAAGATACAAAATGGCACAAACCGCTTGCTTTTTGATGGCAAAAATGAAATTCGAAAAGTAGTGAAATTTGATGATTTATGGAGTTACTAACAAAAATGAAGCTGGTCTCAACCTAGATCATGCACAACATCCAAAATTGTATATGTAATGTTGAAGGTTGTTATTTAGCTAAAAAACGAAGTGGATTTGAAGGTAAGTTGAGATCTGATGTTCTCACGAAATCAAAGAAATCGCTGTACGCGAGACTGCTTGAGGACAAGAGTCGATAATCAAGGTGTCGGGTCTTAAAACTCAACAAAATTCTGCATTAGGGTCATTTGACCTCCCGAACACGAGTGTTATGAGTGTCATACTCATTTGTTGATTCATATCCTCTTTTCTTGTCTGATGTTAGATCCCACATCGCAAACCCAGGTAATCTTACAAAAAACCCTTAACATGCAAATTTAATATCGTTTTTGTGGTCACCATGCCAGAGGCTCCTCCTCCACGCCAAATGTCAGCCAAATTTGTAATAATCTATAATTTCACCCGTGTACCGTATCCCTACCATATCCCTCACTGCGACGTCAGAATCTGACAGGGTTGTAGTTGCGCTGTAGCTTAAATTATAGCCTACATGATAGCCAAATTTGGGTGCGTCATGTATAAAGAGAGAATAAAAGTAGTTGCAAAGCTTAGTTGACAAAATATTACTGTTTGTTAAAATTACTGGGATACTCTCCCTTCAATTTCAATGTTGTTAACCTCAAAAAATCTGCGAAAGTTTCCTTGAATTTTTGAGGGGCTCTCATAGGCGTTATCCATCATTAACTCACCTCCTCCCAAAAAAATTTCGCGACAGCCAGAGCGAAGAAATTTTTGACATAGTCGATGACTTTTTTAACGTTCCCCTGCTGAGCTTTTACTTTTGACAGTTCATTGGACTTTCCATAACCCTCTTCTATGTCTTTATTTGGAACGACTTCATCTTTGAACTGCGTCATCTGGATAATTTGGATCCGCATGCTAATTTAGCCAGTGAAACGAAGTGGATCAAACTTTAGCCTTCAAGGAATTCCAAAACTTCTTCGACCCAGAAAGGTCTAAATAACGGAACAAACCATTGAAGCTGTGGCCAAAAAGATTTTGGTATGCATAAGCTAGTGTAAGGAATAATCATTTTTTCAGTGAACATCATCAGTCATGGACAACTGAACATCGGAAGGAATTCTTTGGGCCACAATGGCAGCAAAAAGATAGTCCTAATTTTTCAGAGGAAAATCTTACACTTTTTTTGACGCTGAGGCAGCCACGCGAAAAACATTAGCGATATGAATTAGTGGGAAAGACATCGAAAATAGATACGTGCTCAGGTAGAAATGCGAGCGAACTTTTGGCTTCTGCTTCTTCTCACTTCTTCTGCTGCTTTTGCTTCTGCAACTTGACATTTTTGTGTAAAATCTCCTTTGCTGCTTGAGAAAATAAATTCTTTCCAGTGATAAATGTTCGCGGAAATATGAAGATACATGGCTGTGTGTGAGGCGAGAACTTGAGAGAAAGAAAAAAGAGCAAAAACTTGCCACTGCTGATAGACGCTCTTCAATCAAATCGACAGTGCAGTTGCTGTTCGGGACACCTCGTAATCGTGCAAGGACTAAGAGATTTTTTGCATTTGAGGAGGGAAAGGGGAAGTTCGCTGGTCGATTTTATGACTTACTAGCTGACAAACCCGGCTACGCCCGGGCCGAAGATTTAACAAAATTAATTTTGTATTCGTAATCAGGAGGCTCACTTACCCCTAGTGGCAACTCCCAGCCACTTAGGTCAAACTTTGCAAAAAATCGATAAAATCGATATTGATCGATAACGGAAGTACCCTACGAACTCGCCGCATCCCGAAGTGTATGTGTGCCAAGTTTGGTACGGATCGGTTCAGAAATAAAAATCTCTATTCGGAATTCGGAACAATGCATATATTGAAGTTGTATCTTTTCGTGAGCTAAGCCGATTGAACTTGATGGACAATGAAGGAATGTGAACAGTTGATTTCTTCTTCCTAACTGCAACATGCTTCCAATTTTTCATAATTTTGCAGTTCTCATCCCTATTAAGTTTGGAATCTTCAATCTCTTGATCTTCTCTCACGTTGCTGAACTATTTGCATTGTCCGCATAACATTTGACATTTACTCGTTTTGTGATTCTTACATTATCATACTTTCCTTTGAGAAAAAATGCAATTTAATGCAATTTTTTGCCAATTATAGCTAGCCTTAAAAATTTTTTAGAATTATTTTTCTGATGCTATCAGATTCCACTTTTGGGGACGCCAAGAGCCATAGAACATAAGATGGCGGACAACTAATGTAAGGTGTCATTCGATGCATTTTCCTTCTCTTTCTAATGAATGTATTTTCTTTCCAATTTGCGGGGTCTTTGGCGATAAAGTTTCCATAATTCTTGATTTTGAACCCGCCCCAGCCTGTACACGTAAAATGCGAAACCTTATATTTACAAGCGGTAAACGCTCAGTTGCTTTGTAAAAATTGTGGATAATCGTAACTGACTTTAAAAAGCTTCAAAATCCGTATACTTGCCAGTGTTCGGGGCGTTTCTGTATTTTGGGACTTTGCAAAAGTGAAGACTTTTGGAAAAATTATCTCAAAAAATACTGAAAAGCCAAATGGATTTGAAAAAAATATATATTGCATTGCACTTTGTTTAATCTATTTGATTGCTATCAAAGCTTCTCCGAAAGTTAAAAACGAAGATCGTGAAAAATTGCCAAATTTGGACTTGGTAAAAAGCATGTGTTCAAAATTTCGGCGATTATCTCAATGATCACAAAAGTAAGCGACATGGGAATATGACTGCTAGAAAGAGGAAAAGACGCTGCGTCGGATAGTGCCTAAAGCGTTTCCCTACCTTCATTCCACGTGTTTTTATGATAGGTTAGAAAAACGGAAAGAACTTTCGGAACGACCTAATATATTCCAATAACTCTTTAGGCCCGTCTAACTATTTGTATACAAATTCTACTAATTTATTATAGCGTGCGGAAAGTACTGTCCCTTAGTTTGCCTTTGAAAACATTTCACAGAAAATAGAAATCCACAGTTTTTTTGATAGTGATAACAGCGAGCAGGATCATCGACCATGCGCCGCAGCGCTCGGGCGCGATTTTGGATCGTAACTGTACCACCAAAAGTGATATAAATTCCAAATCAAGGTGGTTTGTAGAGCATAATCTCCTCTTCAAGATTCTGTACTTACTATGGATCAGTGACTTTGGGTTTTGGCTAAACAAGGAAAATTATATCCCAAGCGAATTCCCAAAATTCACAAAAAGAGGCTGATCAGATCTGCTCTTGCTCAGTGAATTGGATCCAGACTATGGTTCAAAATTTCAGATTCAAACAAAAAGTAACAGGAATAACGAAAAGAGCATCGGGTTTTGTCTACATCATAATTACGCCAATAAACGATTGTACTTAGTTCCTGTGCCACATTTTCTGATCGCATTCTGTTGCGCCACAGACGCTATTTTCTTGGAAAATTTCCCAACTTTTCTCCTACAGCAGCTGTGATCTACTTGCAGCATTTTTCACAAGACACTACAACATTCCTTAAGCAATAGAAGATTTCTCAAATTCACACTGAAAACAAAAGAATTTTCCAAAAAACTTTACCCTTTCTTCACACTTGTAAAAGGAAGTTGCATGATTTGATATGGGATGCGCTGCGAAAAGGGATCCGTCGCCGGATGAGAACGCAGAATTTTTGAGCCAGTTTCTGTAACATGCTAGAATAAATTCACATCTTAGGATTTATGTCAAATTTACCAGAAAAACGTAAGAACTACGCTGATTTTTTTGCCTTTTTTTTTGAGGGACATTACTCTTTCCGCACCTGTAGTTCCAAAGTTGTCGATTTTTCAGAAAAATTCTGTTACATCTAACTTCTCAAACCGCATTTTTCCGAGTTTTTCCAAGAGAGTTACGATAAATCACACATTTGGAGGAAGTGGTTCACAGCCTACTGCAAGAATTTAAAATTCGAGATTCACTAAAACTTTTTTAGCCAAGCATCATTTGAAACTAGTGCTATCATAACCATTTTTATCCAACAAAGATTCATTAAGTATGGAAATAGAGAAAAACTAGGAAAGTTAGTACAATGATGATCATGACAGACTACTAAATTTTGAATTTTCATACTCTGTTTGAAGGTCCTAGTTTCATACTTACTGTCAGTGCTGAAATGGCACCAATTCAACTTTTGTCGCCTTTCTGCAACATTCCATTTTCCCTGAAGGGAAACACGAAAAAATGTTTGGGCTTATCTGATTTAAGACCATAAATAAGTTTCGAAAAGCCTGTTTTTTTAACCTTCTTAGCTGTTTATTCTGCTTATGTTTGTTCCCAAACTTGGCTTGTATGAAATTTAGTGTGAAAGAGAATTTCAAATTTATTAGTCGTGACGAATTCTCCCATCAATTCAGAGCAGCTGGCCGGCTACTCAGTATATGTTGCCCCAACAATCAAACAACGTGACAGCTTTCCAAAAAAGTTTGAGAATGACGTTTGGTTGTGAGAAAATCATTTTCTCAATTTTGGCGAACGCGATGAAATTTTTGTGGTATCACTCATGCATGTCGTGACGAATGTCAAAAAGCCACTATAACGGCGAGGGTTAAGTTTGCATTATTTTGTATAATTCTAGAATTTAAATACAAGATAATGGGCATAAGTGAAGAAGTGAACCTGCAGCTTCTCTGCCAAAAAAACCATGCATTATCCGTAGATGTTACAAAACTATTAAAACACCGATAACGTCCCGGTACTTAGAAATAAAGCTGTGTTAGGTAAAATAGTGAAATCAATGTCCAAATTTAAGTGACGGGAAAGAATATTGTGAAATTATTACAGACAGCATAACAAGAACTGGCTCATGAAATATTAGGGTGTCCCATAATTACAGTTTTTACCCTAAACAACAGCATTTCTCGAGAACTTAGGCACTTTCAAAGTTTACAAATAATGGTCGTACTTCTGTTTGTATGAGCTGTATGATCACGTGCGTGGGAGGAGCTCAGGATTATAGGGGCGGATTTTGTCGTTTCACCCCCTTCATTTCTTCTTTATTTCTAGCCATAGAAAAAATGCAGAGGTAGTACAATACGTTAAGATAAATAGGAATTTTTCAAGACATTCTGGGGTGGAGATACGATTCTTGAAGGAAAAGTTTGTTTTCGACTGCTATCAGATTTCAGTTTAAAACTTACAGGTAAAATACGATTTGGGCGGATTCTTCATAACTATCTTGTAGAGCTTGATTTGTCCTATCGACCGATTACTCAAATCTCAATAAGGAATGATACAAAGATATGGTTATAATAAAAACAGTAAAAAAATTATGGAAACCTTAATACTATGGCATGTTTTATGTGACAAAAGATTTGCTAATTTTGTTTTTCTCTCTATCCATGTGCTTGTATGGTTGTTATGAGTCATCTCACAAGGGAAGGATACCAAGTCGCAGTGACGAACCGAAATGATATGCATATCATTAGATGGTTTGGATGAGCTGATTTCAAATCTACCTTTCCTATCTGCTACGAGCTTCTCTAGAAGAAGCTATGGGCGTTTGAATGTCCAAATTTAGCAAACATTCAGTGTCATATCTTCAAAAACTACTTGTTCAAAGACGCCTACTCATGGTTCGGTGTATGTATGCATTTCTTGTAGTCAGTGTATCCAAAAGCATGCTAATTGATTACTCCTAAGCTAGTTTTTAAAACGCATTAGGCATCGAAATTCCAGCAATGTCACATATTTGAACGTCCATAGCTTCATCTAGAGAAGGTCGTAGCAGATAGGAAAGGTAGATTTGGAATCAGCTCATCAAGACGTATCTAATGATGAACATATCATTACGGTTTGCCATTGCGATCTAGTATCCTTCCCTTGTCAGATTCATGCTTCAGGGTGGAAACCACAAAGGAAAAGAAAAATTTGAGTGACTCTTTGAGAGCGTCAAGCCCTCGTTCCACTTGAACCACAAAAATTGATGGTAGGATGTGCGAAACTAGATTACATCCAAATCGTTCAACTACAAAAAAGTATATTTGAAGACACTTTATCACACAACCTTCAAAACGCAAAACCAAATGCAAAAATGTTTACAAATTGCAGGGTTCATGATGCGGTAAGCGAATCTTTATCGCGAAGGCACATAAATAAGCTGTAGCACCGATTATCAATGTGAAAAATAAAGTGAATAAGTGGGATTTTGAATTTCAATTTCAAAGTAATCACAATCATAAAAGTCTACCCTTATCTATTTCCTATTGAGGCTCCTTTCCTAGACAGGCTTCAATGTGAGGTTTCGTAAACACATAGATCCATATCAAGAAAAGTGTAGCAAGTGAGATCGGTATTGCCACAATGCCTGGAATAATGATATTCATGAAAGTGATGGAAAACTGTTCAGAAAATCATAATTCTAGAAAAAAAAACGAACCTAAGCTAACCAACCCTGTTTGTAGAGTAAGCACCGTTGCAGCTACCGCACCTCAAAAGATTTGATTGCTTTCTATGGAAAAATGGGTGGTTCAAATCACTTTCAAGGACGAGATTTTTCAAATTAAAAAAGATAATTTAAAACAAATTCAAATTTTAATGACGCTGAATTTGCATGTTTTTCCAAAAGTTGAATTGCTGGCGTCATGTCGAGTTTACTAAAGGCTTCAAGCCATAAAGGTTGAAAGCACCATTTAAGTAGTAGTTTCTACCTGAGTTTGCAATAGCTCTGGAACCCACGAGACAGAGCATTTAGAAAAGGAAAGAGTAACTCAGAGACCTTCACTCAACACAACTGTCTCTGTATGCATTTATGAAAATTTGCAACTAGTCATGGAAATTACTTCCATTTTCAATTTAACAATCAGGGTTCGGCACAAGTGGCTAATGAGCAAGCAGGATATCGTTTTTGGAACAAAAAGCAAAGGAGATACCATTTTCCTGGCCGAAATGACACAAAAATTGCGACGTTTACTTTTTTAGTAGAACGTTTCGTTTTTTGAGGGTTTTTTTACGTTTATGGTGCAGGGTGAAGGACTTCTAAAATTTCGAATTCAATGGGGACTTCGTTTTATGCATTTTAGGAAAGTCACTTCGTACCGAGCTCTGGTTACAATTTGTAAAGGTTTTCCAATCCTCTCTGTAGGTTCGCGATCAATATCAACTTGAAGGAATATGACTTCTGAAAATTTATGGTTAAGAGTGCTTCTGTGAATGAGAAACACTTAGACTTTTCACTAGCATTCCTACAGCTTTTTTCGAAGCTTGCAGTTTGTTCTGCTGCCATTGCAAACGTTGGCTCAGTCTTCAAGCAGTCAAGAATTCTCACTCAAAGTTTTGAGGTATGAGAGTGTTCAAAACAGAAGATGCGTCATTCCGACCCTTTTGATGCTCTTCCTCTGATAAAGTGAACAGTTTCAAGGATGTATTATTCTTTTTGCTGTTGTATCTTTTAGGCTACTAATAGGATGGGTTCTTGTAACTGTTCTCTTGTGAAATGGCGAATGTGAATTTTTGATTTTCAGGCTTGATATAGATTAGGTAGTAGGCTACAAATATGCGTAGACAATTTGATTTTTGGTGCAAATAAACAGAAAAAATTCTCGCATTTTTCGAAAGCCCGTCAAATTCATTTTCACGGGTCGGAAAACTAAAAGTATAGCCGTTTTCAGTCTGAATAAAATACATCAAGGAAACTGTACCCAGATTGTTGATAGGGGATCTAATGGTCTACACAGTTTCGGATTTATGCGTTTGAGTCAGACTGAGAACGGCTTTCTTTTTGTTTTGCGACGCTTGAAATATCGAATTTGACCAGCTTTCGAAAAATTTTCTCCATTTCTCCTTTAGAAATCAAACTTTGCTAACATTTGTAGCCTACTAACTAATCTACATTATGCCCAAAGATGAATGCGTCACAGGTAAAACGAGAAAACCAACGGAATTGGTTGCAAAACTTATGTGCCAACCTAATAGTACTTTGTACAAATCTGGTTAATGTCCGAATTCTTTTCCATGTATGCGTTACAAATTTATAACCAAAGTGAGAATAATTATTAATCTGGCAAGTAAGCATGACCAGGCGAAATTTCTTGCTGCTATTTTTCTTTTCCAACGCAAGTTCCGTTTTCAACAATGCAGGAAAAAAGTTACCGGATGCTGCGGCGCCGAGGCCCACTCCAAGCAGTGCGCTGTCTCCACAAGCGGTCATCGCCGAAGCGCAACCAGTGACTTTCTTGGCCATGTTCAGCCGCTTGTATCGCTCCAGCTCAGCCTTAAGATGGACTTTATTATTAGGTAGAATTTGGAAAGAGGATGCGTGCTGAGGGAAGTTTTAATTCACTGTATCTCTGTCTTCTTATTTAGCGGATTGTCCGTTACGTGAACCACTTGACTAGTTTCAATAAAACGACCCTTACACTACTGCTGAAAATAGGAACATGCAGGCCTTCTCTGATACAAAATGTATTTTTTCTAAGCAAACAATAGCATTAGCATAGCAAAAGCATTCAAACTATTCATATACAACTACTGAGGGACAAGCGAGCATATTTAGCCGGTTTCACGCTTTTTAAACTGCTGCGCCAACGCAATTTCAAAAATTACTGTAGGTGAGAGCTGAATATCGTGAGAAGTTGAGATTTAATCGGTTGATGCATTGATGATAGAACCTAACGCTGCACTTAAAAACGTACGAAAATATGTTTCAATAAAAATAAACGGGTGAGGGAAGAACAATAATATTATTTGAGTTCGATTAAGATTGATAGTTTCGCTTTGGTAATTTCGGAAAAAACGCGTACAAAACGCGCTTTTCACCAATTATAACTATCATGAATGTTTTAACCGAGGATTTTCTTGAATCGAAGACTATAGTGAGGTCGGCAAAAATGCTTAATTCAAAACACCTCTCCCCCCCTTCCCTTTGCATAGACCGAAAATCTACTTTCTTCAGAAATTGTCAAGCTTACATTGATGTCCTCTTGCAGCTTCGCCAAAGCTCTGCTCCTAACTTCAGCGGTTCCTATTTTCGGACATTTGTCAAAAATATTCAGTGCAGTGATGCCGTGCTTGATGTGCGCTTCCAATAGTCTCTTCTCAGGCATCATTCGAGAACCCACAGTCGACTAAAGAAAAGGTTGATCTGTATTGCGGATTGCTGGATAGTTGCTCTCCTCACTCTGTCCATTCCTCGACAGTACGCAATTTTCGCTTCAGTCGCTGCTTCTATGCAGATTAATTTCGCATTGGCATTCAGGATGCTGTGCGCTTCTGGCATCGAGCTACCGTCGAAAGCACCCACGTACTCCTTAACTCATAAGAAATGTTAATATTGTAGAAGAAAAATTTGTACCCTTTGATTCAACTTGATTGGCAGGGCTTCGTGACCTAGTTAAGGCTAAGGAATGGCCAGAAAGTGCACAGACACGAGAGAGACGCAGACTGCGTCGCGGGCGCGAGCGCTTAACCAGGTCCCGGCCCCGCCTTCCAGCCGCCAATCCAGTTGAATCGAAGGTTAGTTTTCATGTTAAGCGGACCTTGATATAATGCATCAGCTTCCTGCAGGTTACAGGCTTTCCGTTAACGATTTTCGGCTGCAAGGCGTGCGGGTTCAACAGTGATGGGACCATCTTCTTGAGCTCCTCTCGAAACACCGGTCGTAAGTCTAAAAATTCCTGATTTTCACTGTAGGTTACTCTATATGATGTCTCATACCCTTGACATGTCCCCTAAAAGATTGGCGCTCAGCGACTCGATAGCCAGGATGTGGTAGTAGATAACAGGAAATCTGCTCAAAACACTCCGATAGTTGCTCACGTACACAGCGAATCTCATCGGGTTGATCAGCGGATGTCTGGAAGATTCGACTTTGACAATTAGAATTCAAACATGATTGCTGCTGTTTTCAGAGAAATAGCGCAAATGGAACAACCGTTCCAAAAGCAGCTCTTTATTTTCAAACAGATGAAAAGGAGGAGGCAGAAACAAGCATTATAAATATCATTCTACCAAAACTAAGCTGTTTACATTTTGCAGGTTCAAATGGTTATGTATTTTTGAAAGGGAGTGAGAGAGAGAGAGTTGTACCAATTTTTTTCTAATAAAGGATGATCGGTCGAAGTGGCCATTTGGAATGAGCTGTATATTAGAAAATCGTCCTCGGTAAGGCAAACTCAAAACTACTTTCGCTAGGTGCCGAGCGGTTTTGTGGGGGGAGTTACAAGCACAGGTACGATAAGGTGAGAATGACCCCTCCAGGGTGAAGGGGGTCACAGCGGTCGCAGCCCTTCCGGGTGAAGGGTGTTTCTGTTGATCAAGTAATCATAAAATGTCGACGAAGGGGGGGGGGGAGGAGGGATCCATGGTGTTCTCTCATCATTTTTTTTAGTCAAAGTTTATAATTTTCAATTCCTTGCCATACTGCAGCACATTTCAGAAAAAGACAACCATGGTTGTCTTTTTCTGAAATGTGAGCCGATGTGCTGCTGGATTAGCACACAATTATGGTTCTGACCAGCAACTTGCATTTTTTTTTACATTTTTTTCTTTTTCATTTTTTTACATCACCCTGCCTGTTTTTGAAATTACCATAGAGAATGTGCATGCGAGAATATTTGTTTCGGAAAAAAGTTAGACAAAATTAAGCATTTGCGAATTTTTCAAAAGAAGAAATTTGTAATTTTTGTAGATAAACAGCAACGTCAGCAAGGGAGTGTTTAAACCACCTTATCCCGCTTTTAGAAAATATATACTTTGCCTAGGGTTCGTTAAAAAAAGTGCCTGGGTGAAGGGTGTCCTAGTGATTTCTGGAGATTCTCGAGTTTTTAACATAAAAAAATTTATAACTTCTGCAGATGAATAACTTTTACGGCGAGATGGTCACCATTGGAACCGCCTCGTCCTCTGCTTTTAGAAAATATATACTTTGCCTGGGGTCCGTTAAAAAAATGCCGGGTGAAGGGTGGGTGAGACTTTTATAATGGGAGTGCTCAAGTAGACGTCTTTTCACAATGGTAAAAGCCTGTACTTGAGCACTCCCATTATAAAAGTCTCACCCACCCTTCAACCGGCATTTTTTCTAACGGACCCCAGGCAAAGTATATCTTTTCTGAAAGCGGAGCATGAGACGGTTCCAATGGTGACCATCTAGGCGCACAAGATGTTCATCTACAGAGATTATGAGTTTTTTTATGTTAAAAACTCGAAAATCTTTACAAATCACTAGGACACCCTTCACCCCGGCACTTTTTTGGACGGATCTCAGACTATATATTTTTTGGAAGAGGAGGACAAGGCGGTTCTAGCGGTGACTCGCCGTGAAAGATGTTCATCTACAGAAGTTATGAATCTTTTGTGTTAAAAACTCGAAAATGTCCAAAAATCACTACTTACACCCGTCACCAAGCACTTTTTTCAACAGATTCCTCCTTTTCTATGCATAAGCAATTCACGTACAAATATCTCCTTTGCTTAACGGCGTTAGAATGATGCAGCAGTGTGGCAATGGCGCAGGCAAGATAGCGGACCACGAAGTAGGTGTGGAGGGTTCAAGTCCTGTTGCTGCCGTTTTATTTTGCAGTTCTGTAAAAAGTCTATTGGGTGACAGTAAACGAAAAATACTCATTTCTAGGCAGCTGAAACGAGCTATTTACTGCAAAAAGTCACTATTTCTACACAAGCTATAATCTGCTACAATATGTAAATCTGTGGAGGTTATGATGTCACAACAATGGATTCAAATGATATATTAACATGCATGGAATGCGACCACAGAATGCTCAAAGCAGAAGAGCTTCTCGCAACGCGCACATCGGATAAAATATGAACGATGACAATCACCAGCTTCACAATTGCCTATCAAAGTCGGTGAAAAACAATACTGAACAGGAGACTCGAATTTTTTTTTCATGCAATAAATAATTTTTTTCATACATGTTAATATATCATTTAAATCCATTGTTGTGACACCATAACCTCCACAGATTTACATATTGTAGAAGATTATAGCTTATTGTAGAAATAGTGACTTTTTTGCAGTAAATAGCTTGTTTCAGCTGCCTAGAAATGAGTATTTTTCGTTTACTGTCACCCAATACTTTTTACAGAATTGCAAAATCAAACGGCAGCAACAGGACTTGGACCATCGACCACCTGCTTCGTAGTCCTCTGTCTTGCCACTGCGCCATTGCCATACTTCTCCATCATTCTAGCGCCTCGCTCATCACTGGGTGCGCCGGCTGCGCCGGAGGAAAATGGCCTTGTAACTCCCCCCACAAAACCGCTCGGCACCTAGCGAAAGTAGTTTTGAGTTTGCCTTACCGAAGACGGTTTCCTAATATACAGCTCATTCCAAATGGCCACTTCGACCGATCATCCTTCCCGTAACGCACGCGCCATACTTGATCAGCTTAATCCACTTGATCCACTTGATCCGCTTCGCTATTGGTCAGTTCACTGAATTGACCAATGACGAAGCGGATCAAGCAGATCAAGTGGATCAAGCGGATCAAGTATGACGGGTGCCTAAGGCCCCGGTCAGACTTCACGCGACTTAGTCGTCGCGACCAAATCGCCAAGATTTCCATTCATTTTCATTTCACATTCAAAAATTTCGGGCTGGAAAAGTATCACAACCGAATGCAAGTTGATCGACATGTAATGATGTTGTAACAGTTGTCTCGTCGCGATTCAGTCGCGACGATCAAATCGCGTGAAGTCTGCCCGGGGCCTAAGGCATTTCTTTGCAAAGACGTATGCCTACCGTAGCCCTTTATGATTCACCACCATCTCAAACAACTGACCGGAACTTCCGCAGAACGTTTGGGGAAGTTCCGCCGGATCACCTGCGGGAATTCTGTAAATTTGCTGCACAGTTCCTAAATGAGGTGCTGCGGAAGTTCCCTTTTTCAATGTCTCCATCACTGTAATATAACAAAATCCTGCGGAACCGCTGCAAATTTTGCTTGTGCTGCAGAAGTTCCGGTGAATTGTCTGAGATAATATGATTATAGTAAATAGCAGATCCAATCATTTGCAGATATCAAACGATAAAGGATATTATTTCTTGCTATATCTCCGTATGCCAGCAGTACGGTAAGTGTATCTCACCTCTCATGTAGCATATTTCACAAAAACAAGAAGGTCAAGATATTATGATCGTTTTGACCTATTTTGGACACCTTGATGCTGGTTGGAGTTTACAATGAATAATATGAGGTCTTGCTCAACCAACCTTTAGTACTTGCTCTAGAAACTTTGCTCCTCCTTCCTCTCCATACCCGTACTCCTCCGGATTTTTGAAATCGCGTACACAAAATACGAGGTTCTTTAAACGAGATACATTATTATCATCATTGAGTTTGCATAGTTTTCTTGCCTGAAACGGCTTTCCGAATTGTCGCGCTTCAGTCATCGCCAACCTTCCATATTCGACAAACAAGGAAAGATGTTGCAAAGCATCCTCTTGGATATTGTCAACGACATTATAAACCTAAAGTTTAGACTTTTTGCTGAGGTTAAAAAAAACAAATGCGCACCTGTACACAGCTAATGATAGTGGAAAGAGCGAAGATGGTAAGGCACTGCTGATAGGTGGATGTGTTGTCGAAAGTTCCTTGAGTGTCCATCTAAAATCACCACTAATCCACTGTCGTAGCCGTACACAAGACGAACTACAAATGTACTGAACCAGAAGCACGGCGTACATCTCTCCAGAAGCTGCCTCAATCATGATTGGCTCTCCCCATAACCATATGCCTACAGTATCCCGCTTTGCTCCTGACCTCCAATGAAATCCATGTAATTGGCAGTCATCTGTCAACCATTCCAATGGAGCCTCTGTCTGAAAATGTCACTGTGCTAACTGTGAAATTACAGAAACAAAGTATTGTAGCTTGCCTGTTGCGACTTTTGTAAGCAATATAGGTACTCCAGAAAGAAATTCAAAAGAAAGCTCTTTCCTTTTCGAAACGCTCCGGCTACGCAGATGATGACTACCTGCAAAAAAAAAATTCGTTTGTGATTTTCGATTTAGATTTTTTCTGAAGTAAACATCTAACTTCCAAATTTTCTTTGATCTCATCAAGTTATGGTAAACTTTTGAAGGATAAATAATCATGCAGTTGATTTCCTTCAAATTAGCCAAGGAATTTCAGACAGTCCATATTGACACGCCCATTTCGTGTAAATTGCATAAGCTACATATTTTTATTCATCTACAGTTTATGTTTTTTTAAGGTAAGTTATATGGTTCTTTGTGTAATGGGCACACTTTCGCTAATCATGGAGGAGCAACCAAGCTGGACTGAAACCTTTTTGGCTTTGTTTCACTCTTTCAAAGCATTCTATCATACAAAAGAGATCCCGAGGGAAGGCATCTTGAGTCGATTTTTTGTTTTAATTTGGAGCGCTTTATAATGCTATTGGCCCTCTTCCGACAAAACTAAAAGAGGTAAAAATTCTGGTAAAATTTTAAAATTCAATTTTTGGTAATCCTGGATCATTCTCGTCACGAGCTGGCACCAGGAAAATTTCAAAACGAAGTCCCCTTTGACCCTACTCTAAACGTAAAAAAACCCTAACAAACGAAACGTCGACTGAAAAAACGTCGATCGTGTATTTTCGGCCACAAAAACGATATCCCCTTTGCTTTTTGTCCCAAAAAACGATATCCAGCTTGACCCGGTGCCGGCTGGCCAAGCGCCATGGTTAGTTATTCTTTCACTATCAAGCAATCTCAGCTAGATTTATACTTACACCCTCGCACACGTGGTAGCCTATGCGTTGCTGTTGATCAATTGAAATGAAAATGTATATATAAACAGGTGAAAAACCTGCTAAACTTTCGTTATAGCAGAAATGGGGAATTCTATATGTACATGATCAGTAAGCAACATTTTTTCCTCTTTTTGCCACTTTTTTGGTACCGGCTAAGCAGCAGAGTACGGCCTACATGAAATGCTTTTTAATGTGGGCAGAAAGCCTCTGGCCCGTAGTAAAGCTGCTTCATTCGATCTCAGGTGAATAAAATTTCAGTTGAGGCTTCGACGAGTCAGCTTGCCTTCAGTCGAGTCATTGATTGATATTGCCAGCCACCCACGATGATAAGATTGAGAGCGCCACGTCCATGCAAGTATACGAGACGAGACGAGTTTGCCAAACATTCACATCTAGGTACATCATTGGCACTAGCGGTGCGGATGTGGCCGCACTTGTTAGATCTTGTTAAGTCTCGTCAGCATCACAGTGCTCCTTACCGACATGTTAAACTGACGTGTATCGTAAGTTACTCACAATCAGGAACAACTTACGAGAAGTTTCTCTGCGTATCATCATTGGCACACTATTTACATCAACTGGTAGTCTAACTGAATGTGAACTGACTGAAGTAAGGTAGACTACCTCGTCTGGTAGACGGACGGTCAGCTGAAATCTCATTTTGCATTCTTACAACGTGGAGGCAGTCTACCTTACTGAATCTTGGATGAGGGCCTCAGTTCAGTTCACCTGAACTGAATTAGCTTTACTACGGGCCTCTGTTTACTTCATGCTGCATAGTTTGAGTACCTCGGTCTTAAATTATGCTAGACAATTCTTCCTTTTTCCGCATCGCTTCCTCTAAAAAGGGAAGGATACCAACATGATCCGGCAATCCAAAAAGGGATGTATATGTATATCATCAAACGTCGATTACAAATCTGCTTTCCTTTTCTGCAGAACAACTCTCCGAACGAAGTTAATAGCGTTGGAATGTTCAAAATTATCAAGTCTTGAAAATTCATAAAATCAGCGAAAAGCTGTACAAATACGCGAAAGTGGGTTATCAATTTTTTAACTATACTGACAACAAGGACGGAAGCAACCTTTGGAAGTCCGCACAGGTGTTGCTTTGGAGCTTTTAGCTAATTTTAAGCCACAGGAAACATGAAATTTGAACTTTCAAACACTCATAACTTCTTTCGGTTGTTGCGCAGAAACGAAAAACAGATTTGGAATCAGCGTTTGAAGGCGCGTTTGATGATTTACATTTATCCTACATTTATCCTTGTTTGCCAGATTATGTTGGTATCCTTTCCTCGTAAGCAGTGTTCCAATGGGTATCGTTCCTTATTAGGAATATCTAGTTTCTATTTCCAAGGATGTTTCGAGCATGAATAGCATCCGCTCGTACTCACTAATCAACAGTGACTGTTGCTGTCATGATAATGAAATTAAAGATTCCATAAGAAATACCGACGCTTTCTCAACAAGTGCACTTTCAGGCTTCATCCAAGATGTTCAAGCATAATCTGACTGGAATTTCACTGAATTATTATGAAAATGAAAGTTGTATCAATCTAGCATTATATGTAGAACTGGGCAAGCGAAATTTGGAAATGTGTAAAAGAGACGAATTGAACTATAGTGTTCTTTTGTGTTTGATGTTACTTCAAATCTAGCATAACTCTAAGGCACAAAGATGGTACAAGCTTTGAGGTTCCGAATGTTCACGCCAATGGCAAAAGCATAGAGCATTTACAAAAGGTATCAAACAAAACAAGTCAAACTATTAGGTTGGTGCAAAAATAATGAGCGTTTTTATTTGCTTGCTTTAACAAAGCAACCATGCTCAACCCAACAAAGGGTAAGGGGTACTGTTCGATAGAGCAAAGCAAGCTCTACAAGATGACACTCATGTCTTTGCGCCATGCTCGATCCACTGAGAGTTCGAACTCAAAATCTAAAGATTTCCAAATGCCCATAAAATCGAAAAAAATCAGATCTTCGTCCAAATAATTTCTACGGACCTCCCACTCGCTCACATCAATACTATCGACACCTGATATCCATATGTGCGATTGCCGTATTTTTTCCTTGACTAGAAACTGAGAAAACGAAAATTTCCCTGATTTTCTCAAAGCAATGCTGAGCCGTTTTTGCATATGTAGTTCTATACTACAAGCCTAGGTAAGCATAACTGTAGATTTTCAGCCCATTCCAAGCGATAGTTTTCGAAAAATAACGAATTCGGATTTTTTCGTTTCAGTTTCAGTGCTAAAATCGACATTTCTTGAAAAGTACCGCTCGAAATAGGCTGAAAATCTACAGTTATGCTTACCTAGGCTTGTAGTATAGAACTACATATGCAAAAACGGCTCAGCATTGCTTTGAGAAAATCAGGGAAATTTTCGTTTTCTCAGTTTCTAGTCAAGGAAAAAATACGGCAATCGCACATATGGATATCAGGTATCGATAGTATTGATGTGAGCGAGTGGGAGGTCCGTAGAAATTATTTGGACGAAGATCTGATTTTTTTCGATTTTTTGGGCATTTGGAAATCTTTAGATTTTGAGTTCGAACTCTCAGTGGATCGAGCATGGCGCAAAGACATGAGTGCCATCTTGTAGAGCTTGCTTTGCTCTATCGAACAGTACCCCTTACCCTTTGTTGGGTTGAGACTGGTTGCTTTGTTAAAGCAAGCAAATAAAAACGCTCATTATTTTTGCACCAACCTAATATTTTCCGAATTACTCCCACCAGAACACGTAGATCTCAGTCATGAAAAACACTCTAAGGGCCGGATGCACTAACATTTGCGCTGGGGAGTTGATCGCAGCTTCAGAAGAAAGCTTCATATCCTGAAGCTCCGGATATCTGGATTTCACGCTGTCTACCTATCCGTAAGTACTCCCACCATCCTTCACTATGAACATATTGAGCAGAAGCGAGAAGCTGTACAAGCCGCATTTCTCAGCTTTTTGGAGGATCCCCTGATGATCCCTGGGGGACGAACATCTAGTCTTCAAAGTCATTTTTTCTTTCTCCGATGTTAACTATAAACTTCCAAAGATTATCTAACCCAACAGTGCTAAGCATGTTGCTGATGAGAACAAATGAATTTTTGAAAAATCGAATTTTTCGGTAAACCCCAAATTTCGACCTGTGGATCATCGAAAATTTTATGACTTCACAACATCATTTGTTCCTATCAGCAACATGCTTAGCACTGTTGGGTTAGATAATCTGCGCAACCTTGGAAGTTTTTCGTTAACTTCGGAGAAAGAAAAATGACTTTAAAGAAAAGCGCCGGGGATCATCAGGGATCATACAAAAGCTGGAAAATACGTTTTGTACAGCTTCTCGCCCCTGTTCAACATGTTCATAGTGAAGGACAGTAGGACTGCTTACGGATAGGTACACAACCTGAAATCCAGGTATCTGGAGTTTCGAAATGTGAAGCTTTCTTTTAAGCTGCGATCCCCTCCCCGCGGACATGTTAGTGCATGCGGCCCTAAGATGGATCCATTTTATCAGTTACTAGTTCATATCACTTGTGAGAGACTAACGCGCTCTAATACATGAAGGTTGTGAATACAGAAAAAAATGTGCTACTCTGAAAATACTTGGATAAGAAAATTCAGTAGACTTCTCTTAAATGGTTCCTAGTAAATTACTTAAATAATAATTGATTTTTCCTGCGAATGTGTCGCGAAATTTTTGGAATTCGTGTACATGGATCATAAAAAGCAAGTGAGTTGTTCATTCTTGTAAATAGTTAAAATGACTTTCAAAATTATTTAAGAATTCAAATCAGCCTTGTAAAAAATTTTTTTTCGGGTTTTTTAGATTATAGGGGTTATGGGCCCGCAAAAATTTTGAGAAGTACCCCAAAAAATGTTTCAGAGTGCGTGCTAACGCTACACCTTCATTTAAAAATTTTTTTGGCTCGCCTCCCCCCGGCGAAAATCCTACGACCGCCACTAAAGTGCACTGAATGAAAATTTCATAAAAACTGTACCCCACTGTTGATTTTTTATTGCATTATGGACTGGGTAGACTAAAAGAGAAATTAATCCTAGTTGATGTTATTGGGTGACTTGTTACTAATCTACTTCTGTAGATCAGTCCGAGCTCAAATGAAGCTTTCGCACGAGATTGCTCGTTTGCAGATAAATAAGCTCAAGAAGAGAAAAAGAGTGTGATGTTTCACAAATTCTGTTTTCCATGGTCTCCTTTCTCTCTTTTTCTTCTTTTCTAAACGTTTTATGTTAGCACAAATGTCCATGTAGCATTTACGTAACCTATTTCTTCAACCTATGGCTTCAGTTGTAACAAACCGTAATTCAGCGTTCAAGTTCATCCGTTCTTCAAAGTCCTCACCCCTGTTACATAAAACGAAAAGGGGTCCTACACCCGTCCACCGCAATCACCGACGATTTTCTGCATTCCTCCAAAAGATCCAGCTATGTCGGCGGAAAAATCGAAATCTGCTATGTCTAAGCCACGACAAGTTCTCACCAAAGGAGATCTCTCTTCTTTGCCAAGCGTTTATTAAGAAATGATTGTTGAAGCATACTCACACAGCGCAAACATCGTAACAAAGCAATCAAACAGTTGGAATGTACGCGATTGCACAACTCTTTTAGGAGACCAACGAATGGTTCAATGGTTCTTGTCATTGTCCTTGACTTCTTTTCAAATTAAGAAGCTAGCACCGCAAGAATCATTTATGACTTTTCAACCTACTTCAGTTCCGCGAAAAATTGAGGTCGCAACAGAGGGAAAAAAATCGTTACACCACCTACCACCTAGGCGACCCCAATCGCAGATGTTTTTTTCTGCTTCCAAGGATTACTGGCGTAGTATCATTCATCACATACAAAATCTTTCTGTTTTATGATCGACAGCCAATTTTGTGACTGTTTTCCTGAATTGTGACAAATGAGCAACTAGGGTAGTCTTTGAAGTGAAGTAACGAACCAATAAAATCTAGATTTTTGAATTGGAAGAAACTTTTTTAGATTCGACATCGAATTCGTTATTAACCCGGTTGGTTCAAAAGCTAAGTGATTCTTGCGTATTTTTGACCGGTGAAGATTTGCAAAAAAGAACCTTCTGAATTACTTTCATTAGGTTGTCATAAAAATTTTGAGTTTTTTCAAACCACTATAAAACCACGCACAATAAAGACCCGAATGAGTTTCAACATGCATTCGATGCAGCTTTTCCTTTTCTTTCTTAAGGATACATCTTCGAACCATAATTTTGTATGCTTTTATTGATAATTGCCAACTCCGCCCCTCAATTTTATCTGCTCAAAGTTAGACTAATTTTTGAAAATATCTTTCCAAAGTGTCGGAAGAGGTTAAGTATGGATCTAATATAACAATTCTCGGACTACATGGTGATGCTTTTAGATTTTCCTCACCTGCTGATTTAGCTTCAAAAATTATTTCTTCGGAGGTCTCGATTTTTGGCAAAGTCATGAAACCAACAGCAAAAAAAAACACAAAAGCTTTTGAAGTTTCTGCGAATTGAAACACGATCCTTATCAAACAATTTTATGCAGTATAACCAAGTTTGATTTGCTTGAAAAAGCAGCTTTTTGGAATTTCTAGTACTTTTACGTGGTAAATGTAGTCAAAAAGCCACGGTTTTATTGAATAAAAAATTATAACGGACTTGGTAAACGTGGCCCATGTAATCTAAAATGAAAGCAAAGTAGCCAAAGGTTTGTTCTACATAATGGTTACCGGCGCTCTTCGAAAACATCAAGATAAAAATTTTTAAAATCCAGGAAAAATTTGGCCTTACTGCTGAACTTCTCAAAAAGCGGTAACATCGCAAATACAGGGTAAATCAGAAATATAGCTTTAAGAAAGAGGTTAAAAGTCCCAATCAAATGGGACCTAGGTTGACCTTGGGATGGTGTCTGAGTTTTAGTGAGCGATGGAAAAAATGGAGAAAACTTTCGGGACAACCTAAAATTTTTGCATAATGTGACCCTCAGGCACTAACAAAAATCCCATCTGGATAAATTTTCGGTTTTCTTCTAAATTTCATCTAGAGCATTCGGATTCCTCCGCTGTGTATATTTGCGTCAAGGACAAATTTTAGCCTATGAATTTCTCAAAAGGACACTTTCTCAAGAGATCGGAGAGAAAAAGATGATTTTTGAGAAGAGAGTGCTAAATCTTTCTGGACATGGAGGTAACTGAAAGCAATGTTGGATCCTTTTTGGATTGATTGAGGTAGACCAGAAAGTGAAAGGTCCACATGAAGGAAGAGGGCATGCTAATAGTATATTAGACAGGAAATAGTAATTTCGAAATTATTATAGATGCTCATTGTAGAGTTGATAAGGGAGGAAGAATTTTATTACCTAATTAGAATGAAATACGCTGCTTGATGAACAAATCATTTCAACCAATTTAGAAAGCGCTCAAAATAAAATTGCTAAAAACATTGCAAGTGTTCTCGCCGACATTGTGCAAATGCACATATTGCAGATAAATCTACCCGACTATAACCATCGCCATCTATGGGGTAAGAACATCGAAAACGCTAGGCACAGTATTTTCAAAAAGTCGAGTTTGTTCTTTATCTATTTTAAGTTTTCATTGCCAAAACAAAGAACCAGACTTTTTGAACAGCACATCCATGGCGTTCTCGAATGCAAGCGGAAAACGTGAAGAAAACAAAGAACTCTCTTTGGTACAATCAAGCTACAAATCGTGTACTGCGCATAGTCCGCAATACATATATTACTACAAATAACTTTAAATGGGAGACTTTAACCTTTGAAAAAAAGCTGAGGTCTTTCCCAGACTTCGTATTTCATGGATATCACGCTTTTCTGCATCTTACACTTCTTTTGCGACCACCGATAGCATAAATGTGGTGGGAACGACCGCTATAAGTTTCCGTATGCGATGTGACGCGCGAAGCGCAGCGAGTGGGGGTGCGATTGCGATTTTCGGATCTCGATCCGGTGGGAGAAAAAAGCACTCGACGGGCGGAGCCTCACACGGATGAATATAAAGGTGCTTGACGACACGGAGAGAGTCGGTCAAACATGGATATCGACTCGAAGATCAAGGCCTACCGCTTCGTCGGTTACGCGGCCGTCACCTTTTCCGCGGTCGCGGTACTGTCCGTGTGCATCACCCTTCCCATGGTCTACAACTATGTACACCATGTCCGCTCGCAGATGCACTCCGAGCTCACCATGTGCAAGGTGGGCCATAAAATATTCAAGAATTTTTAGTCCCCTGAATTATTCACACTTTGCAGGGCTCCGCCAAGGACGTCTGGTCCAGCGTGTACTCAATCAAAGAGCTGCCCGGTGCTGCCAACAGAACCGCCAGAAGCGCAAGCAATGATCAGTGCAGCGGATGCTGCTTACCCGGACCCATGGGACCCGTCGGATCACCCGGAAAACCGGGAAAACCCGGAAAGCCAGGAGCACCTGGAATGCCAGGAAACCCGGGACGCCCACCTCAGGCTCCATGCGAGCCAGTCACACCACCTCCATGCAAGGAATGCCCACAAGGACCTCCCGGACCTCCTGGACCCCCTGGACCACCAGGAGACAACGGAACTCCAGGAGAGCAAGGACCTAAAGGACAAGACGCACCACCGGGAGAACCGGGACCAAAGGGTCCACCTGGACCACCTGGACCTCCCGGCAACCCTGGAGCTCCTGGAGAAGCTGGTGAGTATAACAGTCCACTATATTCAAGAAACTGCAAAAAGGTTTGAAGGATTTTCTGGTCATCACATCCCCAGGAAATATCTTTCAAGTGTAGCAAAAAATTTTCTTGTCTGGACCCGTCTCAAAGAAGATCCATCCATCGTTCACGTAAACCTCCCTCTATTTTGCTTTTATCAATTCTGGAAAAAATAATAGTAACCGAAGATTCTTATCAGACTGGTCATATGCAAAAAGCATAGTTCTTAAGAATGGACCAAGATTCTTGTCAGAAGCCTATGTAGCCAACATGAATATTTTCAGGAGAACCCGCGAAATCGGAACCTATTGTTCCTGGTCCACCTGGAGCACCAGGAAGTCCTGGACCACAAGGACCACCTGGACCACCCGGAAGCAATGGTATCGATGGAGCTCCAGGAGAGCCTGGACCAAAGGGACCAGATGGAGAGCCAGGAGCACCTGGACAAGATGGAGAACCCGGTCAACCTGGACATCCCGGTCAAGATGGACAACCCGGAGAGAAGGGAATCTGCCCGAAGTATTGCGCTATCGATGGCGGAGTCTTCTTCGAGGACGGAACGCGTCGTTAGGTTGTGCAAGATCTTATTTATTAAAGCTCACACAGCAAATCGTATTAAATCATTCAAGAATCTCTTCAAAGCTGGGGAATTCCACATCATAACAGTAACCAAATACATTGAAAAAAAACTTTCGAAATATTTCCCATTATTCTGTCTTTTTCAAGTCTTGCGTGTTTGAATATTTGAAATTAGCGCCTCTTCGTCAAAATAAAAAAGGGTACTGAATCTTAGTGCTTTCTCAAATTGCGCCGCTCTCCATATTTCAGCTGATTATCAAATGAACGCCGAACGATCTGTGAAAACTAGCACATGCGCGGAAAAACGCAATGAACGAGAAAATCGAAAAAGTGGAGGGGTTGATCCGTTGCGAATCTAAATGAGGACTGAAATGCACTAAATTGCAGTGAACGAATAGAAATCCTTTAATTTGTGCTTGTGCTGAAGCAGTATAGAAGAGAAGCTTAGGCTTATAAAACGGGAATAATGCTCTTTCCTGAAGATGTACTGTAAATAGCTGAAAACCTTTGGATTTCCCATGAAAACAAGAAAAACTGCAAGAATCGCTAGACACAAAATTTTTTTTATTATCATGTTCGCGATGCAGTGAAAGCTTTCGCGGTTTTCTGGCATGGAACGGTTCCAGTCGAATATAGTAGATATTAGATCACCAAAGATCGTAGCTAACATCTAAACTTTCCGTTTATTCGCTATGCTACACGATGATAATTAAGGAGGTCGAATTGCTAGATACCAATATTATTATGAATTAATTACCAAATCCCTTTATCATAACCTGAAAACGCTGGCTTGATTTCTGAAGAGCCAACAAAGGATCCTAATTTTTGAGCATTTTTGTGTTTCAAACATGGAAGAAGAGATGTGCACGGTACCGGCTCTATAGTTCAAAAGATTGTTTAAAAAGGGCTAAATACCTAGCATGTGTAGGAGAAAATCGAGTTTGATAAATTATCATTTCCTTGGATTTGCATGAGAACGGATCTTATATGGAATAATAAAGGCAAGATGAAGCATAATAAGGGTGGTAAATAAGGGAAGGTTAAGAAATGAACAAATCTTGTCTTTTTAGTCTCCCTTATCATAGCATACTATTTCAAATGTAGTCAAATGTTACATCGTCCTACAGGGTTATGACACTCTGTTACTATAGCTGTCTGAATTTAATCCTCGGTAATATTTATAACATGATTGGCAGAAATTGTTTCTTGAAATGCGAAATTTTATTCTTAGTCAGCAAAACGGCACTTATAAACACTTGTTGGTAAGATGGAAAAGGTCAAACATAAAAAAGTAACATACCTTCTTGTTGGCAATAGATGTGTGTCCAAGCACTGAACTAAGTGCACCTTCGTTTAGCCTGTAGCCATTCGTAGATGAGGGAGCTACGATCTAGAACAATAATCTCAGATTCCGAAGTTTTTTTTCCACAAAAATTACTCCATGAGGACCTTCCTTGAAGGCATGCGCTATACTCCTCGAGGAGTATAGCATGGCGACGGGCGATCTCCAGTCGCCAATACTGGCGACTGTGTCTTCTATGCGTATCGATCGCTAACAAGTTACCACACGTCCAATCGATACGCATTTAATGTGGACTGTCGTAGCGACTGGCGATCGCCCGTCGTAGCGACTGGCGATCGCCAATATCGGCGACAAAAATCGCCGGTTTTACACGTATTTGATGCATATCGATCGTCGCCATGCTATACTCCTCGAGGAGTACAGCGCCTGCCGAAGATTTTAAGAAATCTAATTTTTCATTTTGGAGGTTGTACCAAGTGCGGTTGGAGTTTGATAATCATGAACTCATAAAATATCACTTCTCTTACTCATGAGCATTAAAAATGATGTATGAGAGAGAACTATATAGAACTTTTAATTAGATATGGGAAAAGCTGTTCTTCTCAAAAACTCATCAGCGCACAAAAGTGCAATGAGATGTGGTCGATCTCCGAATTCCACCGAAGAACGTCAAATTAGGTCTCCCTTGAAAATAAGAAACCGTACCTGTACCGGCCTAACTTTGTGTCGATGCTCGCCTTGATCTTTTGTGCTAAACTCGGGCTGAAATGGCGCGGTGAGATCGAAGTCAAATGACATCTGCAAATAAGTTGGTAAGATATAGGATTGTATTTTTTTCAGACAAAGGTATAAGCGAGAGAATACTAGGCAATACGATGATTGACAACAGATTCATGCCACATTTCAAAAAATGATTTTGAAGAGTAATGAAAAAAGCTTTGCAGATACCGACGATAACATGAGCCCTAGACAAGATGTTTTGAAGATTCAAAGGAAATGAGAGAGCGGTCAAAGAAGGTAGTATCTACTAGGTTACGAACGTTCTGTCACATCATTTTCAAAAATTCATAACTTCTGATCCAAAAGAATTTGTTGGCTCTAATTTTCATACAAAAGAGTAAATCTTCTCTACATAAATAAATCTTAGCGGCTTTTTGTTGAGCATACATTGCACAGATAGAGGCTTTGAAAGAAAATATAAAATTTGTTTCTCCTAGGAAGGGCTCGGCAATAGCTTGTAAGCAAGCTGGATATCGTTTTTGGGATGAAAAGCAAAATTCGTATCGTTTTCGAGGCCGAAAAGACACAAAAATTGTGAAGTTCTTTCAGTCGACGTTTCGTTTCTTGAGGGTTTTTTTTTACTTTAGGGTCAAAGGGGACTTTGTAAAAGTCAAGGGGAACTTCATTTTTTTCCAAAAGTCACCTCGTGCTGAGCCCTGTTCCTAAGTTTGGTCCTAGAAAAGCTGCATAAAAATTGGAGAAGTTGATACTGTAGGTTTTATAGCCTGCCCTTTCCAGCTTCCGCTTATGCTCAGTGGACTCTCCGCAAAAAGATATGAATTTCGAAAGAAATGCCAAAAAAGTAGGTTTGCTGTTTTGTACTGATGGCTTGGAGGACGCGCAGGAGGAACCAAAGGCCTAGCCTGCAGTTTCCGCAGGAGATAATTGGAGGCGCGAGCACTGCGCCGGAGATTTGGCCAGGATTCAAGAAAACTTGGCAGGAATCCATAAATGTTCATAAGAAAACTTACCTCGTAACTTCGCTGGGGAAAACGCTGGAGAAATAAGTGGGGCAGTTTTGTAATCTGCGTTTTCAGCCGCATTTATAGGAGAAATGAAAGCGGAATTCACTTTTCATTTACGTTCAATCTTTGAATATGAATATCCCCAGAAAAACATTAGCTACGTCGAAGTACTTACACTCAAGTTTCAAGATTTTTAAGCATTGTTGAATGTCAAGAAACCAAAGTCGTCAAATGTGACACTGAAAATCGGTAGTAGAAAATTGAAGATTAAGAAATTGTTCACAAATCTTGCTCGAATTCAAATCATGAACCATCTGAAAATCATGACGGTAAATCTACAATTTACGGAAAATTTTACGTCAATGTGATGCAAATTCTCAATTTCTGAAAAATTTTCAATTTGGTTCAAACACAATTTTGCAATCATTTGATTTATCAATTCAAAGTTTCATCTTGGACTGCTGACTTTAAGTTTACCTTCCTCTCCATTTTCCAACTTAAATCGTGAAGATTCTTTATGGCGAGTTTTTCGAATGACGGTTGTTTCATTAAGAGAAGCCATGGAAAGTGGATTTCAAAACTTTTACTGTATTTCTGTGCTTTTTCGTGAGCAGAGTTATGAAATACGTTTTCGTATGGCCTCCTTCAAGTTTTTTTGCTAAGTTGTTTTGGATCCTTACCAAATCCTCCCCACAGTGCTTGCGCTCTTAATTGCCTCCTGCGGATATGGCGGCAGGGTCTTTGGTTCCTCCTGCTACGCCGCCGATGGCTTGATACATACGCTCAACAGCAAGTTGTTATATCAAAAAGCATGCTCTACTCTTTCAATCAAAAGTAAAAGCAAGATTGGTTTGGAAAATCGGAAGTTATGAATTATTGAACACTAGCTGGCTTACCCGGCTCCGCCGTATCCGGACCAAACTTGGCACACATACACTTCGGGCCCCGGCGGGTGTCACAGTCCACGTTTCGTCATCGATCGATGTCGATTTTACCGATTTTTATCGATTTTTTGGCAGAGTTCACCTACAGGGCTAGGAGTTGGCACAGGGGGGAAGTGAGCATGGGGATTCCGAATACAATATTAGTTTTCAGAATTATCGATTGCTTTTATTGATTTTATCGATTTTTTGGCAGAGTTCACCTACAGGGCTAGGAGTTGGCACAGGGGGGAAGTGAGCATGGGGATTCCGAATACAATATTAGTTTTCAGGATCGTCCATTACTTTTATCGATTTTATCGATTTTTTTGCAAAGTTTGACCTGCGGGGCTGGGAGTTTGCACAGAGGGTAATCGAGCATGCAGATTACGAATACAATATTAGTTTTCAAGATCGTCCATTACTTTTATCGATTTTATCGATTTTTTGAAAATTTGAGCTAGGGGGCTGGAATTTGGCACAGGGGTGTTCGAGCATGCTGATCACCCCCCTTGGGGATGATGCTGCTGCTGCTGCTCGATTACCCCCCTGTGCCAACTCCCAGCCCCCTAGCTCAAACTTTGCAAAAAAATCGATAAAATCGATAAAAGTAATCGATAAGCCTGAAAACCAATATTGTATTCGGAATCCCCATGCTCGATTACCCCCCTGTGCGAACTCCCAGCCCCGTAGCTCAAACTTTGCAAAAAAATCGATAAAATCGATAAAAGTAATCGATAATCCTGAAAACCAATATTGTATTCGGAATCCCCATGCTCGATTACCCCCCTGTGCCAACTCCCAGCCCCGTAGCTCAAACTTTGCAAAAAAATCGATAAAATCGATAAAAGTAATCGATAATCCTGAAAACCAATATTGTATTCGGAATCCCCATGCTCGATTACCCCCCTGTGCCAACTCCCAGCCCCGTAGGTGAACTCAGCAAAAAAATCGATAAAAATCGATAAAATCGATATCGATCGATGACGAAAAGTAGCCTATGACACCCGCCGGGGCCCGTAGTGTATGTGTGCCAAGTTTGGTCCGGATCGGTTCAGAAATGGAATTTTCTATTCGGAACATAC